TATATATATATATATATATATATATATATATATATATATATATACATATATATATATATATATATATATATATATATATATATATATATATATATATATATTATATATATATATATATATATATATATATATATATATATATATATATATACATATATATATATATATATATATATATATATATGTATATATATATATGTATATATATATATATATATATATATATATATATATTATATATATATATATATATATGTATATATATTTAAATATATATAATAATATTGTGTATTGTGTGTGTGTGTGTTGTGTTGTGTGTGTGTGTGTGTGTGTGTGTGTGTGTGTGTGTGTGTGTGTGTGTGTGTGTGTGTGTGTGTGTGGTATGTGTTTATATGTATGTATGTATATGTGTATTGTATGTATGTATGTATGTTATGTGTATGTATGTTATGTATATGTGTGTACGGTTGATAAGTATATATGGAATTCCTGTCCAGAGTTAGTATTATAAACCTTATCAATAATAACGTCAGCACCTATCTCTCACCACGGCCTGATAGAGGTATGTTTTAGCACTTATCTTATCTCCCTCTAATAATGACAATGACATGAAATTTTATTCACCGTTTAAATTAACCTAAATTCACACATTCCCCTTGTGCTCTTGGGTACCAAATACCAGACCTGGGTACCCCTGGTGTAACTCTCACTCTCTTCTGTAAAAAATACAGATACTTGTATAGATGTGGGGCCACTTATATACAACCTGTCACAACTGAGATAAGACATATGTGAGGACAGTGATAAGGCAAGACAAAGCAGGCCACCACTAACCCAAGACAGGGCACTGACAACTCCCTTGTTCAGTGCCCAGCCAAACACCGTGTTATAGAGTGATCCTAATATCGTTCTCTGCCAAAAAAAGTTCCAAAGTATTGCTACACAAGTAGTGAATACTTTTATTGAAAAGCTACAACAATTATCAAGGGTTGCACCACATTTGAAAAACTGTGTTAATAAATTGCCTTCAAAGTCATGTGGCTGTAACCTGTTTAAGTGAAATTTTCTGCCATATCTGAAGTAAGTACACATTACAGTACTACTTTTGTCTTGATTTATGCTGAAGAGTAGGTCTATGATTTTCGCAGGGGTGGAATTTATCTGTAAAGCTTAATTCCAATGACAAAGATACAAAAGTATGTCATAAAATTCTCAAGAGTTTTTTTATCATTCTAGAACATAAACTTCACGAAAAATACCCGTCCTTAACATTGCAATAACTAGGGTCCATCTTGATAAAGAATTGTGTTTATTGCTTAAGTATGGTGACAAGCACAAAACTCTGTTTACCTTCTATGTGAGCGAGAAATATTGTTCAGTATAGTGCAAGCATCAATGATATAACCTAATGGAAACCAGGACAACTACAATTCCATGAATATTCTTTAACTATCTAAATAATTGCTCGTTCTAAGAGTTTATTAAGTGTTAAATACTGGATAAATCAACTATATGTGGTAAAAAATCAACTATGTATGGTAATGACAGAACAATCCATTAACACATTCACCAGATGTGCATTCATAAAACCAAATGATGTATACCAATGTGTCCTCCCCTCCTTTAAACACACACACTTGATTTACACACCTTGAGCAACGAGCTTGCCGAGCCCCTGAAGATCCTGTTTTGTAAATGCCTGGATGAACGAAAGGTCCCCAGTGAATGGAAAGTAGCCTATGCGAGTCCTTTCTACAAGAAGGGCGATCGTCACTCCACGAACAACTATAGACCGGTGAGCCTGACCAGCATAATATGTAAAGTACTTGAAAGTATTATCAGAGATGCCGCGATGGAACATCTACTACGAAACAACCTTGTAAAGGATTGACAACACGGTTTTATGCCGGGGCGCTCCTATTTAACACAATTACTCAAGGTATTGGATATTTGGACCCATATTCTGGAATGGGGTGGTAATATCGACAATATTTACCTAGATTTTGCCAAGGCTTTCGACATTGTACCCCACGAAAGGCTGAAAATAAAACTGGAAGGGTACGGAATTCGGGGAAATGTCCTAGCGTGGATAGAAGACTTTCTACATGACCGCAAGCAGTGTGTAGTGATTAATGGCACGAAATCATCATCCGTACCTGTCACAAGCAGGGTACCACAGGGCAGTGTATTGGGCCCGCTGTTGTTTGTTTGTTTCATAAATGACATGCCTGACTTTGTACACTCCTCCATACAAATGTTTGCCGATGACACCAAGTTATTTCGGGAAATCAAGAACCAAGCGGACTATGAAGAGCTGCGGAAAGACCTCGGTGGGCTCCATGAATGGTCGAAAATATGGCTGCTGAGATTCAATGTCACGAAGTGTAAGAGGATGCACCTGGGGCGTACCAACGGTAAGGAGGCGTATCATATGTCTCAACAGGATAAAGAAACTGCACTATTTGAGACTGAATGTGAGAAGGACCTAGGTGTGTATGTTGACAATGAGCTGAAGTTCTCGGGCCATTGCAAGAAGAAGGTAAATGAGGCAAATCAATTATTGGGTCTTATAAGAAGGTCTTTCAGATATCTAGACGGTCCGTCCCTTGTAACGATCTACAAGAGTGAAGTGCTTCCCCATCAGGAGTACTGTCACCCTGTCTGGTCCCCGAGATATGCTAGGGACTGTCAGTTGGTTGAAAATGTTCAAAGGAGGGCTACCAGACTGGTGCCTGCCCTTCGGCACCTCAGCTACCCTGAGAGATTGGAGCTCCTAAACTTGCCTAGCTTATACTACAGACGGGCAAGGGGCGACCTAATTGAGGTGTATAAGCACCTCAAGGGGCACTACTCAGTCCAGTGTCCTTACTTGGAGCTGACGGACGCTCGCCCCACAAGGGGTCACAGCTCAAGATTGAAGAAGGCGCAAGTCCAGAAAACTGTGAGGGCAAACTTTTTCCGAGTGAGAGTTGTGAACTCTTGGAACAATCTACCAGAAAGTGTTGTGACGGCACCGAGTGTGAGCTCTGTCAAGACAAGACTTGCCCAACACTGAAGTGGGTTCAGGTGCATTCAGGAGCCGGTGCATGCCCAGTACTTGCCAACAGTGCGTGACAGAGACATGACCGATCGCCCAAGCGGCTAACGAGCCGATCTTTTGATGAAGAGGATAAAAGAAAAGGAAAAGTAATCAGAGACGTGACTGATCACCCAAGCGGCTAACGAGCCGATCAGTGGTGAAGAGGATAAAAGTAAAAGTATAAAACACTCCCTGTATAACGCTTACTCCCATGTTCTCTCTTCCCACTCTCCATATGTTTTTCTCTATATTTTTCATCATCTTTCTATCGCATGTATCCGTAACTATCTCCAGGAGTCTCTCAATAGATCTCTCTCTCTCCTATTCACGCAACTATTTATGATAATCTTCTATTCCTCACTCCCTCCACTGTTAGATTTGTTTTCTCTATTTTGCAAACAGTGGAGGATGACACATTCTTCTGAGATGTGTGGAGGATGACACATTCCTCTGAGACGTGTGGAGGATGACACATTCTTCTGAGATGTGTGGAGGATGACACATTCCTCTGAGGTGTGTGGAGGATGACACATTCTTCTGAGATGTGTGGAGGGTGACACATTCCTCTGAGGTGTGTGGAGGGTGACACATTCTTCTGAGATGTGTGGAGGATGACAGATTCTTCTGAGATGTGTGGAGGATAACACATTCTTCTGAGATGTGTGGAGGGTGACATATTCTTCTGAGATGTGTGGAGGATGACAGACTCTTCTGAGATGTGTGGAGGATAACACATTCTTCTGAGACGTGTGGAGGATGACACATTCTTCTGAGATGTGTGGAGGGTGACACATTCTTCTGAGATGTGTGGAGGGTGACACATTCTTCTGAGACGTGTGGAGGGTGACACATTCTTCTGAGACGTGTAGGGTGACACATTCTTCTGAGATGAGTGGAGGATGACACATTCCTCTGAGATGTGTGGAGGGTGACACATTCCTCTGAGATGTGTGGAGGGTGACACATTCCTCTGAGATGTGTGGAGGATGACACATTCTTCTGAGATGTGTGGGTGACACATTCTTCTGAGATGTGTGGAGGGTGACTAATTCTTCTGATGTGTGTGGAGGGTGACACATTCCTCTGAGACGTGTGGAGGATGACACATTCCTCTGAGATGTGTGGAGGGTGACACATTCTTCTGAGATGTGTGGAGGGTGACACATTCTTCTGAGATGTGTGGAGGATGACACATTCCTCTGAGACGTGTGGAGGATGACACATTCCTCTGAGATGTGTGGAGGGATGTTCCTCTGAGATGTGTGGGGATGACACATTCCTCTGAGGTGTGTGTGGAGGTGACACATTCCTCTGAGATGTGTGGGGATGACACATTCTTCTGAGATGTGTGGGTGACACATTCTTCTGAGATGTGAGGAGGGTGACACATTCTTCTGGGATGTGTGGAGGTGACATTCTTCTGGGACGTGTGGAGGATGACATTCCTCTGAGACGATGTGGAGTGACACATTTCTTCTGGGAGATGTGTGGGGGGATGACACATTCTTCTGGGACGTGTGGAGGATGACACATTCCTCTGAGATGTGTGGAGGATGACACATTCTTCTGAGATGTGTGGAGGTGACATATTCTTCTGGAGATGTGTGGAGGATGACACATTCTTCTGAGATGTGTGGAGGATGACACATTCTTCTGGAACGTGTGGAGGGTGACACATTCTTCTGTGAGATGTGTGGAGGTGACACATTCCTCCTGAGACGTGTGGAGGATGACACATTCCTCTGGATGTGTGGAGGTGACACATTCTTCTGAGATGTGTGGAGGTGACACATTCTTCTGAGATGTGTGGAGGATGACAAATTCCTCTGAGGACGTGTGGAGGATGACACATTCCACTGAGATGTGTGGAGGTGACACATTCTTCTGAGACGTGTGGAGGATGACACATTCTTCTGAGATGTGTGGAGGATGACACCTTCTTCTGAATGTGTGGAGGATGACACATTCTTCTGAGATGTGTGGAGGATGAGATTCCTCTGTGTGGAGGATGACACATTCTTCTCAGATGTGTGGAGGATGACACATTCTTCTGAGATGTGTGGAGGATGACACATTCTTCTGAGATGTGTGGAGAGTGACACATTCTTCTGAGATGTGTGGAGGATGACACATTCTTCTGAGATGTGTGGAGGATGACACATTCTTCTGAGACGTGTGGAGGATGACACATTCTTCTGAGATGTGTGGAGGATGACACAGTCTTCTGAGATGTGTGGAGGGTGACACATTATTCTGAGACGTGTGGAGGATGACACATTCCTCTGAGATGTGTGGAGGGTGACACATTCTTCTGAGACGTGTGGAGGATGACACATTCTTCTGAGATGTGTGGAGGATGACACATTCCTCTGAGATGTGTGGAGGATGACACATTCTTCTGAGATGTGTGGAGGATGACACATTCCTCTGAGATGTGTGGAGGATGACACATTCTTCTGAGATGTGGAGGATGACACATTCCTCTGAGATGTGTGGAGGATGACACATTCTTCTGAGATGTGTGGAGGATGACACATTCCTCTGAGATGTGTGGAGGATGACACATTCTTATGAGATGTGTGGAGGATGACACATTCTTCTGGGAGATGTGGAGGGTGACACATTCCTCTGAGATGTGTGGAGGGTGACACATTCCTCTGAGATGTGTGGAGGAAGACACATTCTTCTGAGATGTGTCGAGGGTGACACATTCTTCTGAGATGTGTGGAGGGTGACACATTCTTCTGGGAGATGTGGAGGGTGACACATTCCTCTGAGATGTGTGGAGGATGACACATTCTTCTGAGATGTGTGGAGAGTGACACATTCTTCTGAGATGTGTGGAGGGTGACACATTCTTCTGAGATGTGTGGAGGTGACACATTCTTCTGAGATGTGTGGAGGGTGACACATTCTTCTGAGATGTGTGGAGGGTGACACATTCTTCTGGGAAGTGTGGAGAGCGACACATTCTTCTGAGATGTGTGGAGGGTGACACATT